GTCCGTGAAATAACATGACCTTAAATGCTACGTTTTACTCCAGACTGCTGAGTTGGGCCATATACCGAGAGAAACTTAACATATCCCTGTGAGCCTCTGCAGCCTGGGGAGGAGGTAGGCCAGGTCCTTCCACAGGGAAGGCCAGGAGGCCAGTGTGGCTGGAGGGAAATAAGCAAGGGGAGTGCAGTAGGAACTGAGGTCGGAGAGGAATGGGGTGGGGGTACGAGGCGGAGGACCTTAGGGCCTCAGTGATGGTGGCTGCCAAGGCCCAAAGCACACCAGCAGAGGGAATAGGACAAGCCAGCAGGAGAGGGCCTGGCACCAGGGAGGCCAAGGAACTGGGGCTCAGGGAGGAAGACGAAAGACATCTTCATCTCTGGCTCCAACACACAAAGCAGGGCAGCATGACATTTTCTTTTGCCCTTTACATTTTCCCCCTTTGTATTTAACACAGAATCTAAGTCTGTTTGATATTGATCATCTTTATTACATTTCAATCTTAAAGATAAACCAGTGGAAGACAGGGTACTTTTCTTAGAAATAAAAATTAAAACAAGAACACACTGTTTCTTATCATGTGGTCTCCCTGAGGTCTATCTGTCCACCCCCGTCCCCACTCTGTGGTTTTGTAATGTTACAAGCCCCAAAGTACAAAAGATGAAATCTCACTTCCTTACTTACAAGTTTTTGGATTGATTGCTTCCAGTTTAGGTTGAGAACAGGGTACTTCTGAGACCTTGGCTAAACGAGGGACCGAATAAATGTGTTCTGCATTGAAGCCATGGAAAGCCATTTCCTCCAATGGTGCCACCTGAAGTGGGGGTGGGGGAAGGAATCAATTCATATTGTTTAAATAATTGCATTTTCTTTTATGATCTAACAGAGGATAAAATTCTGTATCAGACTTCAGGTTCAAGGGGGGCATACTGAGCAAAATTTTTTCTCTCTCTCCTCCCCCAAGGCATCTAGAAATGACAATCAAGAAATAAATCCCTAATAAAGAATAGGAGGGCCATCAGTGGGTGAGAGATGTCCTAACATATCCAGAAGAAACAGGATGAAGCCCATTGTCAGCTAAGAGAAGGAGACAGTGGCAGCCCAAAGTCCACAGGAGGAAACTTGCCCCCCAGAGGATGGGAGTCTGTCTTCCCACCAGAACTCCAAAGAGTGTCAATGCTCAGGGGTTCAATTCCTCAGAGTGGGAATAAGAAAGGAAACGATAAACAGGAGGGGCCCCACTGCCCTGCTGCCCACATCCCCTCTCCTCCAGATTCTGCCACCCTCAGCATACTTAAAGCTACATTCACCCCAGCCTTTTATCGCCTCCTTTCCAATGACTCTTTTGTAAACAAATTAAACAAACAGCCTGGGAAGGAGGAGAAGAACTACTCAGGGAGCCATGTTAGTAGTCAAAAAAAAAAAAACAAAATCCCAAAAAACTCTAACATTGATTTGGAGGCGCCCAGTCCAATCCCCAAATATGAGATCCCTGCCTGCTGACCCCAAAGAAAAGCCCTCCAGTGGGCAATCAATCCCCATGAGTTCCCAGTCAGTGTTTCTAGTCACAGAAAAGACCCATCCAGAAAACAAACCCACATGTATGACAGTAGAAGAAAACCATACCAGCTGTGCAGAAAAATCCACCCAGGCCTGCATTTTACATTTTGAATAAACAATCACAGCTTTTTACATAGATGAAGAACATCAGCAGCATAAAAGACAAAGAAAAAGATCTACAAAGAACACCTGACCGTGGAAGAAGCACAAATCCAGAGGAGAGAATCGTAATTAGTATCTGCAGAGAAATTTGAGAAAGCATTGCATCTATAGAACAAGAACAGGATGCCATGAAAAAGGAACAATCACAGGCCAAGAAAGATCTTAGACAGAGAATCTCTCAGCTGCAGTGACATACTGGAAGTCTAGAGACTTGGGTTTTGGTCCCATCCCTGTGACCCCCACTCAAGTTTCTTTCTCTCTCAGAGCCTTGATTTTTTATATTAAACTCCAAATAAAGGGCCTCTCTTCCTAGCTGCCATGTCCTTGGCTCTTTCTCCTTCCTTAGTACAGTCTCAGCCCACCCAGCCATGTACAGAGAATCCTGCTCTGTCTGCAAAACTGTCCTCAACAAGGACATGGTGTTGAATCCATTGTAAAGGCCTTCCTCATCTAGGATCTCATTTGAGAGGCCCTGTAAGTTAGTCAAGAATTATCTGATCCATTTAACAGATGCAGAAACTGGGGCTCGAAGTGGTTATGTGATGCCCTTTAGGTGACACCATTAGCAGCAGAGGTAGGACTGGCCCTAAGTTTCTGGTTCTGGTTCCAGTGCCTTCCCTTCCCGTCTCCCTAATGCAGGACACTGATGCTCCATCCGTGCTGTTCTCAAGTAAGAGCCTTTCAGTTAGGTTGGTGCCTGGCTGATACTCACAGTAGTCACAGCTTCTTGTTTGACTTTATATCCTTCTGGAAAGGCGGGCAGCTCAGCTTCATATTCTGAAGGGAGTGGGGAAGAAAATTCTCAATTTCATACTTCATTACAGTTTGTGATGTAATTCCCCTTCCTCTAAATAAAACACTCTTAAATTTTATTTTGGTTGGTGGTTTACAGAAATGAAAAACAACTGGCCATCACAGGGTTGTTTATTTAAAATAGGTTAAGAGATGATTATTCTCTGGCATGTACTTTATGTAAGAGTTTTGAGATTCTTCCCAAGAAGATAGATTTCTATTTTACCCCCAGATTATGATAATTATAAGGAATAAAAGAAGGAAGAAAATGAGGAGGGTGACTAAGGGAAGACACCAATGGCATATAGAGAACGAGACGAGGAGGAAAAGGAGACTGTCATCTAGAATTTACAGAATAAAAGAGACAGAGGGACGATGAACCATCCCAGGCAGTCATGGGGGTGAGCATGAAGGCAAGGCTGCCAGATTGGGGCACACAGCTGGAAGAGCAATCCCATAAACCCTTGCTAGTCGAAGCATTGCCCACGTACCAGCAGCACTGGCATCCCTGGGGAGTTAGAAATGCAACACCTCAAGCCTCACCCCAAACCTGCTGGCTCTGAACCTGCAGTTTAACAAGACTCCCAGGTGACTTGTATGCAATTAAGGTTGGACAGGTCCTGCTGCAAGTCCAGTGGTTTCCATCTTGGCTGCACATTAGAATCACCCGGGAGTTTTTTTGGAAATACCAATGCCTTGGTCCAACCCCAGAAACTTGGATTCAATAGGCCTGGGGCAAAAGCCTGGAAATCAGTATTTTATAAGGTTCTCCAGCTGATTCTAAAGTGCAGCAAGGTGGAGAACGATCGCCAGGTTTCAAGACTGATCACAGTCGATCTGTTGGGAGCTTACTGCAAAAAACATACCACACTAGTTCTACAAAGTAACAATTCCTGCTGAGAGAGGGACAGAAAACGCTCATGGCTATATTAGTTACACCCCTTAGGGAAAGACTGGTAAAAGTATTTCTGGAGAAGTCAATGTTTTAAAGGCAATTGTATAGTTGCTTTGCAGTGATAAGGGAAAACAACGTTTCTGGGCAAGATGGTATTGATGCAATTATATTGGATGCAAGTTTTACTCCATTACCTAGTTCTTTATCAGGTAGGAGAGCATTTCTTAATCTCTTTTTTTTTAATTCCTAGGTATCAGGTTGGGGAATAGTATGTCAGGATGCAGGTTATAAGCAATTTTGATTCCCAGTACTAGCGAGATTAGGTTTCCATTGCTGTGCAACGAATTATCACAAACTCAGCAGCTTAAAATAACACAAATTTATTATCTCATGGTTTCCCCTGGGTCAGGAGTATGGGTCTGGGCCAGGGTCTCATTAGGCTGAAATCAAGGTGTTGGCCATGGCCATCTCATCTGTTGGCTGGGGTCCTCTTCCAAGTTCACTGGTTGTTGGCAGGATTCAGTTTCTTGTGGATATAGGTCTGAAGTCCCTATTTTCTTTTGGGTTGTTGTGGGGGCTGCTCTAAGCTCCTAGAGGCCTTCCTCTGGTCCTTGTCATGGGCAGCTCCCTCATAACTATTTGCTACTTCAAGGCAAGCAGGAATCGCTTTTGCTTGAATCTCTCTAACATCTTTTAAGGGCTCACCTGATTAGGTCAGGCCCACCCACAATAATCTCCCTAATTTAAAGTCAATTGATTACAGACTTTAATTACATCTGGAAACTCCCTTGACAGCAATGCCTAGATTAGCACTTGACCAGGTAATTGGGGTGTGTGCACTAGGGGCTAGAATCTTGGGGCCATCTGAGAATTCTGCCTACCACGGCAACTCTAGCTCTACCACTTTATGTTTCCTTCTTAAGCAAAAATGTAAATTCACCCTTCTTCCCTCAAGTCTTTGAGACCCCCAACACTGTCACCAAGGTAGTGTGAAAACTATTTATTTGGATGTAAGATATACATACATTTATAGTTTTGATTAAATAAGCAATATAGGCTTATTGTGAGAAATATTCCCAATAACATGGAGATGCCTTATGTAGAGTCTAAGTCACACCAGATTCCACTACATTATTGGAACTGCCGTAGGTCCGACCAAATATTTTTCAATGCATTTACTAACATTTGTGTATAATTCACAAATACACTTATTTACTTTAGATCTCGAGACTAGGTCAAATCATCCAAGCACAGAACCTCATAACATGGTGTCTTTATTCTTCATAACTCATGTCAGTCTTACCCTTATTTGAAATTTGTAAAAATTAATGACTATCTTTTCTAATAGACTGTGTCTTGTGGGAGTGTTTGTGCTCACCATCATATTCCCAAAGAATATGAAGCTGAATGAATGAATAAATGAACAAAACAAACAGTACAGCAAGTTACTTTTGATCCTTTATCTATTCATTCATCCATACTCATTGAGAGCCCACTGTGCCCAGGAACCATCCTAGGTGTTGAATCACGGACCTCTCTCAATGCTGCTACTATTGGGTGCACTTCATTTATTTAACCAGTGTACTCTCAGTGGGCATTTTGGTTGTTTCCAATTTTTCATTATTACAAACAACGCTGCTATGAGCATCTTTATATACACCATTGATCAGAAAGAAGGCACTTTTGTAGAAGTAACTCTTAGATGTGGAATTGTTCTGTCAAAGGAAAAAATAATTTAAAATTTGGACCAAATTACCAAATTTTCCTCCAAAAAGTCTGTAACTTTTACTCCTGTTTACTCCTGTAAGGCTGCCTGTTTCTCTAGGGTACTACCAACCTTATACATATTTAAAATGATATTTTACTTTTACTTGTATTTTCTTAATTATTATTTATTTGCCATTTATATTTTTCCCAAGCAGATCTCTTAGTTCACTAAACTTGATGGAAAAGATACACACCTTTTCACCATATGACCACAAAAGATAATACAGTTACATAATTATGTAGAAATATGGGGAAATACATTAGCTTCAGTACAATCTGACGTGTTTGTTATCTTAAGCCTCTGTAATGTTTAAGAAAATCTGGCATATTTGAGAATTCGTCACTTTCACCTTATGATTTCAATTTAAAACGTGTAATTGATTACAGACTGATGCTTTTTACACTGAAAGCCATATGAATTTGAATGTGATTAAGTTTGTAACGATTATTGAACTCATTAAAACTTGATTTACCATAGTTTGATAGTTTTGATTTATAAGAGTTGCTTCAGTGCTTAGAAAAGCTTGTTGGTCTGTTTGGCATTAGAAATTCTTAAGAAAATCAGGTACATTAAATGTGTAAGTGTTTATGGGGGGGTGGGTACAGCTCAGTGGCAGGATGCATGTTACCTACGCTTGTAATTTGGATTACGGGTGTTCCCCGCTTTTGGAAAGTTCACTTTAAGTACTTCACTTTTACAAAAGACCTACATTAGTACCTGTTTTCGCAAACCAAAAGAAATCCAAAGAGAATTTTTGTTTTTATGAGAAAAGGTGAAAAGTGAAAACGGCATTCAGCATTTGTTTTGCATCGAACTGTTACAGGGAAAGCGTGCACTCCCAGCAGTGGGGCGGTGCAGCCAAACTCCTTCCCTGGGAACTACACTCCGCATCTCAGCATCACGCAAGCATAGCTTTGAACTGTATCTGTGAACATCTGTGCTTTATCTCGATTTATTTTGTGCACCCATTAGCAAGATGTGTCCTAAGGTAACTGCTTCTTTACCTTATGCCATTTTGGCTTACGAAAGGCTTCATAGGGCCTCTCTACTTTTGATTTACAGCATGGGAAACCCGTAATTGCTTAGGGAAATGTAATGTTATATTATGTTAAGTGAACATTAATCTAGGAACAGGAAAGAATAGTTGTTCATTTTATACAAGGCAATATTATGTCAGAGGCAGAGCAGAAAGAGCCTGTAACCCTGTTGGTGGAACGGAGCCTTTGTGCCAAAACTGGAACCTCCCCACCACCGTGCTCCAGCGATGTGACATAATGAAATGTCTTTATTGCTCAGGCCACTGTTAGTTGGGCGTTCTGTGATTTGCAGCTGAACATGTTTCTAACTGAAACAGTTAAAATGCAATGTTCACCAACAGTGGCCTGTTGGAAAGGGATGAGCCAGGAAGAGGAAGCGGTTGGAAGTGAATCTAAAGAACAGTTAGCCAGCATACACTATGGCGAGGTGTCGTACAAGCTGCTGGAGGGACACAAGCAGAAGAGCTTGTGTTCTGGTGAGGGGATGGGGAGTAAGCCAATGGTTAGGAGATGTGCGAGTGATGCTGTAGAGGGCTGCACCCAGAAAGCACCAAGAAGGGGCTTCAAAATCAGCCTGAACGATAATAGAAGGCTTTCCAGAAGAGGGGCCACTTAGGCTGAGTCTTGAAAGATAAAGATGAGAGGAAGGCAGAGATGTTCCAGTAAGAAGCAATGCTTATGCAAAGGCATGGAGGAGAGGAACAGTATGGTGCAATGGAGGAAGTTTCTTGCAGCTAAAAGGACACAGCACAGGACAGTGGTACTGTGTCTTGTCCCTTGCTCAGAGAGCTTATTTAAAATGCAGAGTTTAGGGACTCCCCATCAAGGAGTGGGGAGAGTCATCACACCACTGAGTCATCAGTCAAGGACAAAGCACAGGAGTCTGCATTTTAGCAAGTATCTGGGAGATTTTGATGTGGGTGGTCCGTGTCTACATGTTGAAGCACACTGGTAGGTTGCTTCAGGGCTTGAACTTGAGTGTCACACATATGAGTTTGAGTCTGGTTTTGCTACTTACTTTGGGCATGTTTCCTAAGCTCCCTATACCTCAATTTCTTCATCTATTTAAATCACCGAGTTGCTGTGAGGTTTAACTAGAGGAAAAGCACCTAGCACAGTGCCTGGCACATAAAGGCAGCTCAATAAATGTTAGCCACTAGGATGATTTGGACAAATGGTAAGTGACAAATCTAAAAAAGAGAGAGATCAGATCATCAAGGGGCTAAGGTGTTAAGCCAAAGAGTTTATGTTTACCACGAAAGCTATGAAAATCATTGTAGGTCATGGCATGATGTGATCAGACTTGAATCTGAGAGAGGTTCCTATGGAAGAGAGACTGGAAGTCTTCCCCGATTGGAAAGCTACAGCAGCAATCCAAACAGGGAGTGGGAAGGGCCATGAGTACTAGGGGACGTGGAGTTAGGGTTACAAGCAGTGTTAAGCCGGTAGGGTCTAGAGGGATTGGAGAATGAATGTGGGGTCATGGAAAGTGAAAGTGAAGCCTATAAGATGAATCTCTGATTTCTGGACTGGGCAGCTGAGTGGATGATGGAGAGTAATTGTCAGTGTCTAGAACAGTGCCTGGCCCAGCATATAAAACAGTTCCCAATGTGGGTAGATACGTTGATTGATGTACGAGAATGATTTCATTGGAGCCATGAGGTTGATATGGGAATTGGAATGACAGTGGTGTGAACCAAAGCTCCTTCCAGAAGCTTGGCTGAGAGGGCAAGAGAGACAGACAAGAGCTAGAAGATGACTGGGGTCAAGAGAAGTATTCCCCAGGAAATGGACCAGAGGATGTTTGGAGGGAAGAGCCAGTAGAGAAGTTAAAGATGTAGAGGAGGTGAGTGACAAAGCAGGGCAGGATCCTGGGATAGCAAGAGGATGGTCCCAAAGCACAGGTGCAGGGCTGAGCTGTGTGGGCAGCGGGATAAATACTTCAACCCCGTGGGCAGATGCAAACATGTTTACTCGTGTGAGGAAGCTGGAGGATTCCCTCCCTACTCCTGATTGCCTAACTATTCACAGTGAGTGTCTCCTCTATCTGCCAAGTGGTGTCACACAATGTCTGAAGAGTGGAGTAAAAACTTGGGACTAGGAGATGCGGGCACTGGGCGAAGGCACTGATGGATGTTGACTGATAAGCATTGCAGAGAGCTGCCTGGTGTCATTTTCCTCCAGCTGTGCTCAGCTGCTGTGCTGGGGGAATAGCACTGATTCAGAACTGGTCCATGTTGTTACCTGGCAAGGTGGTAGGAAGGGTCCTGATTTTACAATAGCTTTCGGGGCTGAGGCCAGGGACTAGTGCTTGGAGTGATGAACCAATGGCAGTAATGAGGATGCTGATGGCAGTAATAACAGCAATAAGAGAACAGAAGACCGGAGCTCTGAATCCTTTGGTTAAAACCATAGTTAAAAATCATTAAGTCACAAGCAGCCACGAGACTTAATTAGAAGCCCTGGCAGGAAAGACTTTTATTGATATGAATACAAGTGCTTTTGAGAATAAAATGCCCAGAGTTAGTTGTCACGGGAAACATAAGGAAATTGAACAACGGCTGACAAATAAGTTATCATAAAGGCCTGTGTGCTCACGTGCGCGCAAAGAGCATTAGCCAGGCAGAATAAAGGTCTTAGATATTTACTTATTCTGTATCTCATTTTCCTGAAACTGAGTTTCTGACAGGTTTGTTTGCTGTGATAATTTTCTTTTTAAATGGAACCGCTCTCATAGAATATAATCCTTAACCTCAAAGATAGGATTATTACAAAGCCTTTAATAATTTTTCATGTTTGTTGTCAGAAACTAAATTTACTCACTATGTTTGTTATAGAAAATTGCGTTTGTTAAAATGTTTGTTTTAAGAAATTGGGTTTATCACCTAGTTTATAACAATCACTACAGTGCCTGTGTGTATAATTCACCATCTTTGACCTCATTAACTTCATTTGGTAACTCTGTCACTTTGTAAGTGGCATCAATTCACTCGCTTTTCTAAGCAACAAAACTCTTTGTCTTTGCTTTTTCCCTACAAGCCTGTTTGACAAAAAGATATTCCACGATTCTAAAACAAATGCAAAGCATGTTTCTCTGTCAACAATAATGAACATTTATTGAGCACTTTCTTTTTTTAATTTTTTATTTTTATTGGGGGGGAGGTATTTAGGTTTGGTTTTGTTTTTGATAGAGATACTAGGAATTGAACTCAGGACCTTGTACATGCTAGGCATGCACTCTACCACTGAGCTATACCCTCCCCTCTACTGAGCACTTTCTAAGTGCCAGGCACTGTTCCAAGCACCTCTGCATACATTATCTTATTCCGTCCTCACAGCAGCCCTGTGAGGTAGGTACGAGGATCAGCCCCTCCTAGAGATGAAGTTGAACAGCCTCCCAAACAAAACACTGCTAGTAAATTGTACCATCAAGAGCTGCTTGGCCTGGAGAAGTGAAAGCTTTGGGGAAAAGACCGCCACAGCAACAACCTTCTATATGAGTGTTTTTGTAATGGTAGAGTGATTAGCAACTTAGGTCATGGCACCAGGAGGGTAAGGACCAAAGGGTAGGAAGTTAAAAGAAGAACATTCAAGGAGAAACAGATTTTTCTGGGTATGATGCAAGTTCCTTCCTGGAGAAGGAACTCAAGCACTGGACGGATATAGGCTGAAACAGATGGCCTTGAGGGTATCTATCAACTCAGAGTCCATTACCTTCCTCTTCCTTTGTATTTTCCATTTCTCTCACTCATCGCTCTCTCTCCCTCCACCCAGTCCCATCCACTGGAGCATTCATTCTTTTCTCCATCCAACAAACATTTACTGACCTGCCCTGTCCAATACAGTGGCCATTGGCCACGTATAGCTGTCTAAGCTTATTAAAATTAAGTAAAACAAAAAAATTCAGTTCCAAAGTTGCTCTAAACACATTTCAGGTGCTCAATACCCGTATGTGGCAAGTGGCTACCATATTTGAAAGTTCTATTGGATGGCACTGTGTCAGACAGTTGAGGTAGTTATGGCAGCCACAGAATGAAAAATTTGAGTTCTTGACCTTGAGTTTACAATCATAGGGAGAAGAAAAGAAAACCACACCTAGCATTATTTATTAAGAGCTACCGCACATTGAGCTCTTGCTGTCAATCGGGACTTTGCTAAGTACTTTCTGAGGGGACCCTTTAACAGCCTCTCCCAACACCAAGAAATAGGGGCCATTATTATGCTCACTTTACTGAGAGGATAACAAGTAAAACGCGGGCGTACCTTGTTTTATTGTGCCTCACTTCATTGCACTTAGGAGGTACTGTGTTTTTTTACAAATGGAAGTTCCATGACAACCCTGTGTCAAGCAAGTCTATTAATGCCATTTTCCCAACAGCATTTGCTCACTTTGTGTCTGTGCCACATTTTGGCCATTTTCATAATACCTCAGACTTTTTCATTATTATTACATTTGTCATGGTGATCTGTGGTCTTTGATGTTACTACTGCAAGAAGATTACAACTCACTGAATGCTAAGATGATGATTAGCAATTTTCAGCAATAAAGTGTTTTTTAAAATTGAAGTATAGTTCATTTACAATCTTGTGTTAGTTAGCAATAAAATGTTTTTAAAGTAAGGTATATATGGACATAATGATATTGCACACTTAATAGACTACAATATTGTGTAAACATAATTTTTATATGCACTAGGAAACCAAAAAATTCGTGACTCATTTTACTGCAGTGGTCTGGAACCCAACCTGCAATATCTTGGCAGTATGCCTAACTTGTTTAACTATGTCTTTAATTATGGGGCCTCTTGACCAAGGGGTATGTGTAGGGCCACAAAAGGTGAGCTATACTTCGTTTGGGAATTTTAAGGAAGGTCAGAAGTGGAAAAGGATTAAAGCCATGTCTTTCTAGACCATGCTTGTTCAATGTAGACTACATCAGAACTACCTGCGAGCTCCCTAAAAGTGCAGATCCCCTGACCTCTACTGGGAGCTCTATGAGCGGGGCCAGGGAACCTATGTTTTAAACAAGCTCCCCATTTCCATCCCGGCGACTCTTTCCTGTTCACTAAATGAGGTTTGAGCACCTCAAATCTCTGGTCCACAGCGTCTGGTCCCCTTTATTCCGCTTTCCCCTGCCTTCGATCTGACTGTGGAACCAAGTTGGAGGCTGCCATGCGTAACCCCGGGCAAACCTCTTGGAGCCTCGGTTTCCCCGAACGTAAAATGGGGAGCCCTGCGGGCCCGCAGCGCGGCTGCCAGGGGCCCTCGCACGTCAGTCGCCTGGTACACAATAGGCGCCCTGCCAGAGCGGCCCCACCGGGCCACCCGAGTCCCGCCCCGCTCCGCCGGCCCGGGCTGCCTACCCTCGCAGATCTGCTCCCACGGGTTCTTGCCCGGCAGCTCTGCAACCTGCCCCGGCGAGAAGGGCAGCTCGAGGGACATGGAGGAAACGACGCGCACTGGCGTCCTGGCTGTGACAGACGACTCGGGCGAGACGGCCCACTCCACGCTCCGGGTGATGCTGCATAGCCGCCCAAGCGCCGCCATGGCCGCGGTCTCCACGGCAACCGCGCGCCCCGCACGGCCGCGACCCGGAAGGAGCCGCGTCTCGCAGGGGCGGGCCAGCGAGTCGAGGCTGACTTCCGGGTCACGGCGGAGCGGGCTCTCACGTGGAGGCGGGGAAGTTTGGCCTACGGGTGAGTGCAGAGGGCGCGACGCCGCCGGGGCGGCGAGGGGGCTGGACACTGGGCGTGGGGACTTGCGCGCGAGCCACGGGACCGGAGGGCGACCTGCACTTCCAGGTCCACATCCCTCCGGTAGCCGGCGTGCACTCGTCCAGGCCTGAGACCGCCGCCTCCAGGAAGTTCCCCCGCCTTGGAGCTGGGCCTGGGGCCCCGCGAAACCCTCCGTGTGCGGTTGTGCGGAAGATTTTGCGCGGCCGAAACTTTGAGGGAGCAGCAGTCTCGCCTCCTGGCTCCCTTGCTTCCTGCTAGCGAGCCCTCAGTGGGAGTAGGGTGTTGATGCCATTATGCAGGAGCACAGGCTCCGAAGTTCTGCGGTGTGGTTTCGAATCCTTGTTTTGCCCCTTGCTGGCTTTGGGACCCAGGGCAAGAAAATTAAAGTCCTGTGGGCTCAGTTTGCACGTCTGTGTAATGGGTTATTCACAGCCTTGGTAACCTAGCGAAGCTACCGCCAAGAATTTAAAAGTGCTTTTGGAGAAAGCATTTGCGTTCACAGGAGACACACTGTAAGGTTCATTTCCTCTTCCCTTCTTGAAGGAATGAATACTTTTGGGTTGCAGGGTTGAAGAGGAGGATATTCAGTGCTCAAGAGGAGGATGCTACAGTGTTCTGAACCGCAAAAATAGGGAGAGACGGTGATTAAGTTCACAGCCTCTCCTTGGCTTCTTTGTTATTATCCCATCTCTTGACCATTCCTTCATCTGAGGCCCACTTGGCACCTTTGACTCACCCTTCTCCAGGTTTGCACCTTCTCCCCCTCCTTTGCAAGCCCCTCTTTTTCTGCCCGCCCATTTAAATGTTAGTCTTCCCTACTATTCTGTTTCAGGCTCATTCTGTTTAAGGCTCACCACCCATATATTCCTAAATTTATGTCAGCTTTGAACCTCAGACTGATACATACATCCGCCTGTCCACCGCGGCGTCTCCCCTTGGCTATCTCAAGGCATCTGTTCCAACCAGCTTGTCTCCTCCAGCCCCCCAACCTCCCCACCTTCAGTTCCTTTGTCCTAGGGATTAGCACCATCATCCTGCAGCTGCCCAAGCTGGAAAAATGTTCTTCAGAAAGTTTCCTGACAGCTGATAGGCCCGATGAGAAGACCTCTGTTACTCGGACCTCACCACTGTGCTTGCTGTTATCTTTTGTATCATCGTTAACACACCTCTTTCCCACCCACACCTGCCTGCTTCTTGACGGCAGGTGTTTTATTTTGTTCATCTCTGTATCTCTAGCATTCATTCCTTCATTCAGTGAATATTTATTGAGCACCTGCTATGTGTTGAGTGCAGAGCTAGGCCCCAGGAATACAGTAGAAAACAAGACAGGAGTAAATGAGCGGATGTTCTGTTGATCCTCTAGGTCCTCCTGGGGTGAGTTATGAGTGAACTTGAACTATAGTTCAGGCCTGGCCTGGCTCGTTGAAGGAGCTAAGAGCAAGGTAGATCCAGTGTGGACCCTCTGGGCTTTGAGGCTGAGGAAAGCTGCAGGACGAAGCTCTTGTCCTTTCCCCCCTCTGTCTAAACCTGTGAGGGGACATTGTTTTCTGGATTCCCTGAGTGGCTGTGTGTCATCTAGTCTAAGGATCAGGAACTGGGCCGGTGACGAGTGAGAGATGTGGTCCAGCCGGAAGCTGATGTATACTTGAGGGCCCAGCCCCTTTTCATAGGTGCCTCCTTGACATGCCCCCACCTCTCTACTCACCTCCAAAAGCCTGGGTTGCTTTGTATCATTTCCAATCATTAAATGTTGGCAATTAATTTGAAAATTTAAAAACAGTGAAATAGGCCTTTAGGCTGGATGTGGCCGCCTACGCCACCCCCCCTGCCCTGCCAGCCTGTGCTGTGATCTGATTCAGTCCCTCTTTTATAGATGGGGAAACTGGGGCCTGGAGAAGCCAGCACCATGTGGCAAGAGTATGTGAGTCCCCATTTGAATCCAGGTGTTCTCAGCCCTTCCTGGGGCTCCTCACTGTGCCTCACTGCTGCTCTCCTGTCTAGCCACATGAGAAGGTAGTTAGGAGAGTAAATCATCTTGGGTGCAGACCAAGGGAATTAATTTCCAGACACAAAGCAGAGGAGCTGCTTAGAATGAACCAAGGTAACAGGTTAACTGTGGCACATTTCCTGCCTCTGGTGGGAATCAGCAAGAAGAGCTGTCTCAAGATTTCTGTCCCCTTCATCCTATAGAAGGTGAGCCCCTGAGGGCAGGGTGAGGCCTCGGTAGCTGGCACGGGGTAGGCAGTGGTACATTTCTGTTGAATCACTGACTAGGCTTTAGAGGTTTAAGGAAGAGGATTAGGAAAGGGAATCAACAGTGTCCCAGGCACTTCCCATAGATTATCGTTTATTCTTTCCAACAGCCTTTTGGGGGAAGGGAGTGTTCTCTCCCCCCAGTTTCAGATGGGAAAGTTAAGACCCAGGGAGGGTAGGTGATTAGCTTAAGGTGAGGGAGCAGCTTGGCTTTGAACCTGGGGCTGCCAGAATTTAAAGTCCATTTTAGTTCCTCGATCCTATTCCCGCTTTGCTCCCCAGGGATCATGCCCATGTTCCCAGCCCCTAGTGTTTTTGACCATCCACTGAAAGAACGTGACTCTTAGCAATATCGAGTTGAAATGTACTCAGGGTGTAGGGTAACTTGGACTTTTTTTTTTTTAAGAATGATCACTAAGACCCACAAAGGAGACCTGGGCCTTGGGCTCCCAGAGAAAAAGAAGAAGAAGAAAAGGAAGGCAGTCAAAGAACCAGAGACTCAATATTCAGCTTTAAACAGTGACACTTATTCTGCTGAGGTTTGTCCCACAAGAGTCACATCACCCTCGAAGAATATGGTCCAAGGGCAGGCACCCGAAATGCCTTTAGTGAAGAAAAAGAAGAAAAAAAAGAAGGGTCACAGCACTGGCTGCGGGGAGCCCCTAGAACCTGAGACCACATCACGGGCTGGACAGACTGAGACGTCGCCCAGCCCCGGGAAGCAGGTGCTTGGTCCATCCGAGCTCAGTGGGGAGAAGAAAAAAGGAAAGAGGAAGTCCTTGTCCCCTGGCTTGAGGGTGAAGACCTCCCCAGATCCCAGGCAAGGTGACGAGGTGACCAGAGTTGGCAAGAAGCTCAAAAAACAAAAGAAGGAGAAAAAGGCTCAGGAAACCACAGCCGTCTCAGCCAGGGACCCTTGGTGCTGTGAGGCTGGGGATGCTCCCTACACTTGCTCAGTAGTGAAGGATGGTGAGGAGCAGGCAGCCTCGGGGCAGAAACGGAAGCAGGGGAGCCCCAGGGAACACAGCATGAAGATGAAGAAGAAAAAGAAAATCCATCAAGAGGGAGATACCCTCCTGGGACACCCCAAGCTCTCCATGTCTGTGGAGAGCAGCTCTAGGAAAAGAAGTAAAAAGAAGCCAGTCAAAGTCGAGGCTCCAGAATACATTCCTCTAGGAGATGGCCCCAGGACCCCTGCAAAGAAGAAAATGAAGTCCAAGAAAAAAGCAGAGCAGACAGGCGTTGAGGAGTCAACTTTGAAGAGGAAGAAGAAGAAGAAGAAGAAGAAGCAGGAGAGCAGAGCAGCAGCAGAACCTTGGGAGGAGGTATGCTGTCCTTCAAAAGTGGACTTTTTTGGGGGAGAATAAGGGTGGAAGTTGGGAGTGTGTGTGTGTACACACAGGCCCTCAACCTTGATTAAACTGACTTCAGTCAGGAAGGGGATTTAATGACACATGTAACTAGAAAAGTTAAAAGCTGTCTAGCTTCAGGTATGGCTGGATCCATGTGCTTGTGTAATAGTCTCAATAATACAGGTATCCCTTGCTATCAGAAATCTACCCAAGTCCTCTCTATGTGCACGCAACAGCTAGATAAATTGGGATAAGTTTCTCAGGTAGATCCTTCCCTCTCTAAACTTGCCACTTGCTGTCCAAAACTCAGAAACCAAATAGTTTGAGATAGCATGGTGTCCATAGCTATCTGAGCTTTCTTTCTGAGCTCTGTATACACAATTTAGGAATAGATTTGGATTGCAGGAGATGCCTGTGTGGCTTTCTCCAGCTCTGGGATTTGTATTTTTCTATGCTGGTTTTAATCTTAGACAGGCTCCTCCCCACCCCAAACCCATGACAGGATGGTCCCGGCAGCTCCAGGCTTTCATCATGATCGTTAAGCCACCCGCAAAGGGAGAAGGACAGCCCTCCAAAACGATTACAGGAAAAGTCTCAGCACTGCTCTCCCAGACCTCGACTGGGTCACACAAGCCAGAAGCCCTGATCTGAGGCCAGTGGGAAGGAGCTGAGGGTAGCAGTCCCACCTGAACCCCACTGTCTCTAACCAGGGAAGGCAGTTTCTGAGAGGAAAACCAGGGTCCTGTTACGAGGAGGAAGGGAAGGGATGGCAGCCTGTGAAGGCAGCAGATGTGGTCTCTCCGTCTTGGGGCGGTGCAGAGCACGGGGACCCCACAGGCCCCCCCCCCCGTCTCCCCTGTCTGTACCACCACCAGGGCCAGGCCGCCGCTCCTGTCCTCAGTGTGTGCCGGCCCCCCATTCCACTCCCAGCAGAGCTGGCCTTTCACGAGCACTTACTGTGTGCTTGGCACTGGGCTCGTGTTCTCCACGCAGTGACCTGCTTAATCCTCCCTGTGATCTGATGGGGTCGCTGCTGCGGTTATCCCCACTGAACAGACAAGGAAACGGAGGCTCAAAAGAGGTCACCTGTTAAGGGACAGGACTGGGCTTCAGACCCAATGTGGCTTCTGAACTTGGGGTTTTCTCCTTTCTCGGAAGCCCCCTGTGTAAGCTCGCGTAGACGCCGGTATCATTAGAGCCAGATGAATGACTGTTTTATATTTGAACAAGCCCTGGGTTCTCCTCGCAGCTCTGCACCAACCAGGGTGACCTCAGACCAGCCGTGGGCCTGTGGTCTCAAGTAAGAGTCATGGCTGCCACAAGGGGCCAGCCTGGCCGAGAGGCGAGGGCTCTGTTAACAGCGCCAACTGAAGGATGAGCCCCTGAGCTGAGTCACAGGGTGGCGCATGCTCAGCTCGGCCACATGGGGTTGGGGAGGCGGGGGCAGCCTCCACGTTGGAGCCCGCAGGAGGTGGTTCTGGTTCCTGGATTTCTGCAGCTTTGCCCTGGTCCAGGAGACTAGGTTTCACTGGTCGCTTCCTTTATTCACACACTCTCGGGGCCAGGAGGAACCCCAGAGGCTTGCAGCTCAACCCCCATCAGAATTCTAAAATCCCTTCTCCCAGGAGCCCAGTGAAAGGTAGTTAGTCCCTCTGCTCAGTGTCTCCCGTGATGGAGACTCTGTCCCCCAGCACAGCCAATGGAGTCAGGACGTGCCGTGCATCTTCAGGGTCCCAGCACATGGTATGAGTGAACAGAGCCATCCCAGGCTCATCACGTGTGACACTGGGTGCCAGGCAGAGCACAGCTGAAGTGAGGATGCAGGACATGTGGTGGATGTCGCTGCTGAAGGACTGGGGAGAGTGGCCCACCCAAGGTCTTGCTGTCCACGGGTCCCACAGGGGCTGAGGCCACTGAGAGAGCATGGCCTGTGTGAGCGTGGTCAGGGCAGGCCTGGCGAGGACCTCGGGGGAGCTGAGACCTGTAAAGGCCATGCCATCTGTGCAGAGTGAGTGGCAGGTGCAAAGGCCCTGGGGGGGGGGGGGGGGCAAAGAGGCTGGGGCAGCAGAGCCAGATTGTCATGTAAACAAGATGGGAGCCCCTGGAGGTTTTGGGGGAATGGGGTGATGTGATGCTCTTGAGTTTGTTTTATTAATACTTTTTAGTTGAGATATGATTGACACAGAACATCGGGTAAGTTGAAGGTGGACCCGAGGTGCTGTGTGGGATCTAGCTGCGTGGGGGGAGGGGAAGCAGGAGTCAGAGCCTGTGCTGGCTGTCCAGGCAGCAGAGAAGGCGCCGGCCAGGACACGGGGGTGCAGGGGGAGTAGGGAGGAGAGAATGGGGGAAGTTTGGGTTTGCCGCAGGGCCCCCACCTCTGCCTTCTCTGGTCCCTGCCAGCCCGCCTCCCAGCATCAGTGGGGACCTTAGCCTCTCTCCTCTTGCTGATTTGATGTTGCCCTGGGAAGTGAGGTGACATCTGGCAGGAAGGGTTGTGCTCCAGGCCTGGGTTAGTGTCGGCCCTGTCCCTGAGCTGTGGGGGTGACCTCGTGATAGCCACTTCACCTCTCTGAGCCCTAGTATCTTCATCTGTCAAATGAGTCAGTGCCATAGTCAAGGGGAGAGTCGGGGAGAACTGTGGAGGAGAAGGGCTGTCAGGGGTTCTGTGGGTGTTGGGGGTTGGGGTAGGGCTGCGGTCTCCCGTCTTCTCTGGGCTCCCGCGGTCGCACCCGGCTGGGCTGCTGGGCCAGAGGCCGTGGTCCACTCGACTCACTCTGTCTGCCCTCTCGTGCAGGAGCCCGACACAGACTTAGAGGTGGTGTTGGAAAAGAAAGGCAACATGGACGAGACGCACATAGACCAGGTACGGCCCGGTCCTCACCCCTTCCCATGTGTCTTCCCACCCCAGACTTGCTCTCGCCTCCTGCCAGGCCACGAGGTCCTGGGCCCAGAGGTGTCAGGGAGTCCAGAGGCCACCAGGCCAGCCTCTGGCACACCTCCGCTGGACAGGAGCTCGTGGCCTCCCCTGCTTCATGCTGGGAGACCCCTTCACTGCCATAGCTTTGGCTGAGGGGCCATCTGGTCATTCAGAATCCCAGGTGAGGCATTCCTCCTGGTCACCGCTGCAGGAGGAGAAGGGGACGTGTCCTGGGGAGCCGCGGTGGAGCGGGGAACACGTGCTCAGCCACGCCCCCGCGTTACCACCCCCTGGCCTCGACTGAGGAGCGTTTGGAGAAGTTGTTCTATTGTGGACAAGTTTCTGCTTCTGTTGTGCCCAGATCCTGTACGGGGGCTGGACTTTCTGGAATTAGGATATTTTTATGTTCCTGGAGCCCAAGGCCTGTCAGGACAGCATAGTAACCGCATAGGTGTGGCCTTGGACTGACCTTTGGCAGTCACTAACGTCACGACCCTCACATCGGTGGCTGTGAAGGTCACGCGAGGCTGGGTTTGGGAGGCACTCAGCAGGGGCCTGCCTGAGACCTGTGCTTAGTAAGTGGCAGCTGTTAACCTGCCTGCGTCCTCACGCTGTGTCAGCAAGTGATTGCTGGAGAGAAGCAGCAGGATTTGACGTGGAGACAGCCCCTGTGTCATGGCCCTGCTCCTCCAGGAGAGAAAGAGAAACGGAGTGAGTGCTTACAAGTGAGCTGAGAGTGAGGAGGGAGCCCTACAAGGTGCCACGTTACCTCCATACCTGATGCCTTTGGGGCGTTGGGGACCCTCTCGCTGGAGGAGGGGGTGTCACAGAGGGG